AATCAACCTATATAAACACACACACTTCACACACAAAAATTATTCGATCATATATACGAATATGCGATCAACATTCGTAGTCTTATTGCTGGTTAGTATACACGCTGTTTCCTTACTCTTCTCTTCTTATCAAATTTTTCTTTCAGTTTGTCTTCGTCATTGCTGTTTTTTCAGCATCTATACAGATTAATGATCCTCCAGTGGAAGAGCAAGACTCTGAATCATCAAGCGATAATGAAAGTGACGAAGATAAGAATTCGATAAGTCACAATGTTGATCAGAGACATCAAGAAAATGAACATCGTGTTCAACGGTCAGCAGATGCAAACCGTGGACAAGGCTCAGGAAATGGAAACGGTGGGCAAGGTTCTGGAAAGGGAAACGGTGGACAAGGTTCTGGAAAGGGAAACGGTGGACAAGGCTCAGGAGAGGAAAACGGTAGGCAAGGTTCTGGAAAGGGAAACGGTGGACAAGGTTCAGGAAATGGAAACGGTGGACAAGGTTCTGGACATGGAAACGGTGGACAAGGTTCAGGAAATGGAAACGGTGGGCAAGGTTCTGGAAATGGAAACGGTGGACAAGGTGCAGGAAATGGAAACGGTGGACAAGGTTCTGGAAATGGAAACGGTGGACAAGGTTCAGGAAATAGAAACGGTGGGCAAGGTTCTGGAAATGGAAACGGTGGACAAGGTTCAGGAAATGGAAACGGTGGACAAGGTTCAGGAAATGGAAACGGTGGGCAAGGTTCTGGAAATGGAAACGGTGGACAAGGTTCAGGAAATGGAAACGGTGGGCAAGGTTCTGGAAAGGGAAATGATGGACAAGGTTCAGGAAAGGGAAACGGTGGACAAGGTTAAGAATGTGATAACGAATTCTGTAATTAGCTATCCGTCGCCAAATACTTTACATTGGTTTATACGTTTAATGTAGATAGATCTTGCGGTCATCAACACTATTTTGTTATCAATTAATTAGAAGAACAATCATATAATCGAAAATAAACTTTATTCAACATATTAACACATTTTTTTATTGATTTACCTATAAATAAAATTAAAACAAACATGTTTATTTATTAAGACAAATACATACTAACCATTGTCAAATAGAAAGACAAATCTATAGGATATAAACGTAATAACAGGACATAAGATATTGATTTTAGCAGATGCTTGACATTCAGAATCTTAGTCGTTTGTACGAGTATCAATACAATTCACAAACCTACTCACACGAGAAACCCTGTGTAAAAAATCTTCGTTCAAAATTTTTGTTCGATTTTCGTCCATTTATGTGCCGCAGAAGAAAATCAAAAGTGGTCAGTGAGAAGGAGAATTTCGTGCTATTTCTAAATATATATTCAGAATTTTTTCTAGCTTGAAGACGAGGCATTAAGAGCAAATATTTAACGGAGACCAACAATGACATTTGTCCAAATGCCTAGTTTCTAAGGTCTTGATAAATGTGTTTGCTGATTTTTCGAACCTTTAAATATAGTTGAAGAGAATCGAAAGGAGTTGTTTAGAACCAAAATTTGATGCTCTATCTAAATATATCTTTAGAATTTCGTTCTGACTAGTCGCTACTTAGCTCTAACCGAAGACCTGAATAAAATAAAAAATATCGCTTACAACAGATAAACTAGGTTTCTTTTCTCTCAGACATAGTTTATCTGAAGGGTATATTTGCGATGATTTTCACCTCCTATTGCTGTAGAGCACTTATTGTTCTACAAAATTGTAAATTGAAATAAGCTAAAACTCGAAAGAATTAAGAGTTCCACACATTTTTCGAAATGTGACGCTTTACATAAAATGACATTTTTCACAATAATTCGTTTTTACAAATTCCAACATTTAAAATGCAACAGATTCCGATGGTTTGCAACGATATGTTAGAAGCAAAGCAAATGGTATATTTTGCAGAGCATGCTTCATTCTGAAAACTGGTACATAAAAAGGCTGTCCTGTAATTTGAATTGTGGCAGCCTTAATCAAAATACACAATGGACTGCATGAAATGTTCTGTACAAACGTCGTTGTCTTACCTTATTACTACGAAGAGATTTGATTTTTACGTTATTCTTTTTTTTTCAGTAATTGTCATACCCGTCAGAAATACTAGAAATGAGTGATGTAAAGAAAAACGCTTTTACCAAAATTGTATCTCAGAATAGCAATAAAGCAAAACGATCTGAAACTGTCAAAAGTAGCTGTTCTCGTCATAAGAACTGTCTTTATGCAAAGTTGAAACACTAAATTCGAAAATCAGATTTTCAAACGTTGCCACATTCATTTAAGAAAAGCCTGTCAGTGCAGCTCCTTTGGGGCTGAAATGTGGAATTCACATATTTTGTTTAGTCTTATTAAACTAATACGAAATAGGTGAAAACGAAAAATCTTTCATACACTATAGTTGTGTTCGAAGATAATCGATCAGCAAAGAAAAGATTTGTCTTATATATTTCTGCATTTCGAACAGAAATTTTTTACTTTTTCTACGAGCATCCTATTTTTTGTTTGCATTGCTGCTTTTCGCTCATTATTTTTCATTTTTTAAATTCATTTTTCGTAATTTAACATATTTATTATTATAATTATGAAATTGATTGACAAGTAAGTCTGTTTTACGTATCCATAATATCTACAGCAGATCTTACGCACTATCATATATATTAATCAACTCACAAACAATGATATTCATTATTTTTTAAAATTATAACCTGATCAATTTTGAAAAAAAAAAAACTCTAGAAAGTCTGACGCCTGTTTTTTCTTGATTACAAACGTCTGTAATGGGGTGTGTCTGTAAAGAGGGACTTCTGTAATGAAGGCTTGCATTCCTATGGTCTATAATGGGGAGGGAGAGGCGGAGGAGAGCCGTAACAATTGGAACTTGAAATTTACACTCACTACTTTCTTCGAAAATATATGTGGGCTTCACAATAGCATCGTGATGATGCAGTTTTCTTGACAGCAACTATTGTCAGAACATTCATAACTCATGTCAAACTGAATAATCCACATGGTATCGACTCAAAAGTGACTTATCAGTTCGAGGACTTCTTGCGTAAATAAAAAAAGACATTAGCTTCTTTACGAGAAAATTTAGTTATGTGCTGTAGGTAGGTGTGGGTGTGCGGGGTATGTGATGTGGGTTTGGGCTGTGGGTGTGGGTATGGGCGGGTGAATGTAAGGAATAGTAATACACGTACACCCACCCTCACTCCCACATCCAGCTACACTCACCAATGCCCGCACTCCCACCCCAACCTACATCCACACCCATCGAAAGCCATGTTCAGCACCTATTATCGAAGAGAAATAGGAGTTAACATCTGTCCCATTACTTTTGCATCAGATGTTATAATTGTAATAAATGTATACAATCTTGAGCTAACCTGGTTTTCTAGATTTCGAGATGGCTCTGATGGAAATATTAATATCATGCCATTTCAACTCATCTAAGAAACTCAAAGCAATGCGTTTCGCTTTTGATCATTTATTAACAAAGATCATAAATGAATGCATACATATAACACGGACATCATTTTTTTTCTTTTATTCCGCGTCGTATTTTTTCTTCTTCTCTCGCTCATTTTCTTCTAAAATGTTGTTCTCATCATCGTGAAAGCGAAGAGGAGCCTGACAGAAAAGACGTACTTCGGAGAGCAACAATTCTCGTCGTCGATCGTACGAATATTTTCTCATTATCATTACTGTATTATTTTTTCCTATTCACGGGTTCTTTTCTCTCTTTCACTACCCTCATTGTCGACAGCGGCCTCCGTCCTTCTTTCTTTTTTCCCTCCTGTTTTATATAGAGGCTGGTTGCATGTTATATCATTACTAGCAGGAGACTATCTGAATCAAAGCTGTTGATGAATTGATTCGGTTAATGTAAACATATTTGATCCGTGGGTCGTTCGTAGGTTCAGCCCACTGTAAGATTTTTTCACGAAGCAAAGTTTTTTGCTCAAAACTCGCAAAAAATTATCGTTATTTTATGAAACTTTCGTACTAATATTTGTTGAATGTATCATAACCGAGTCTTCCTGCTTCTTTGTTCTATAACCGCTCCATTTTTTATAGAACTACTTTATTGTAGTTTTGTTCACCTTGTCCCACTTGTCTAATTTTCATAACAGAGTTGAAAGATATTGATCAAACGTTTTCTTCAAAAGATTTACACCTTTTAACAATACATTCTGCATTTTTCGATAATGAATTTATGATTATTTCGCAGTGAAAAATTTTGAATCTCTTAACATAACGCATTGATTTGCACCTACGCAGCTTTTAGATCAAAACTTGAATGGTGTTGCACTTTAGGAAATAACAGATATTTTCTTTTATTTCATTTCTTCGGAACTAGGCTGTTTGATAGCAATACTTGTACCAAGAGAAGTACGTAATTGGCTTTGTTGTTTTATTATCTGTAAAATTCATTATTAATTTAAATAATAGCTAATCAGTCGGACTGAAACTTTTTTATTACGTGCTTCGAAAAGGATTGCTCCATTTTATAGGTTTCTTAGTCAAAAGAAAGAGTCTGATTTGCATCGGCAAATAAACACTTTGAAAAAATAATGTTTAATCGTGATACATAATTCAGATATGAAATATTTCGTTTTCTATGTTGAAAATATTAATTTTCATTCCATTTACATGGAAACGATATTTTATTTTTTGAACATCGTAACGACACTAATATATACTTTAAACATATTTCAAGTTATTTTCAATCTAGTATGAAATATCGATTCAGTTAAAAATTAATTTTTTGTCTTTTTAAAGGTCACAAATATTGATCAATAACCTAAAATTGAATGTTTGCCTTTATTCTATGAGATAATTCTTTTAAAAGAATGATTTGTAGCTCATCTTAAATTTGATCGTATTAAATCGCTTTTACACACGTCAAATAACTTCTGAATGGACCAAAATGAAAACTGAAAGATTATTCTATTGAGTCAAACTATTCAGCATAAGTCACACAGAGAACTAATGAAAACAGTGATCAATAACGTTGATATTATATTTCACATAATGGCGTTATTACAGCACTCTGTTAAATTAATGAAGTTGCTAACCTTTAAAATTCCATTTCAAGTTATGCCTTCATTTAACTCTATATTTTTCAATATTTCATCTATTAAGATTAAATTTATTGATATATTTACCAGTCTCTGTATCAAATGAGCTGCTCATACTAATAAAATAAATCGTTATGGGTCGAGAAGGTAAGAGATGTTAAAGAATGAGCATGATCAACAAAATAATTTGTCTTAACAGTTCTAGAATCAGCTGGAATTGTTCGACGACCAAATATAGTTCATTTTTGACGGTATCATGGTACATTGATTGGTTGCCGGAAGCAATCAGCGAGCTCAAAGGAAGGACTTGTTTTTCATAGTGACAAATATTGTCAAGAACGATCGGTTTCAGCAATTTTAGTCAACTTTGTTAGTGATCTAGACAATTGATCACTTGATATAATTACATATGAACGATCATAACGAACATATGAATTAGTCTTTCAATGATCTGCAATTTTCAGAACGAGATGAAGAAAAATCAATCATTTCTAATTCTAAAAAAAAGCATTTAAATGAGTTGTTTTAGTATATTGACAACTTTTGGTGTGGTAGATACTTCGTTTTATCTTCTGAACATGACGTTCTTTTGCATTTTTCTGCGACTGACTATAATAAAAAAAATGCTGATAGCATTATTAATTTATGAAAGAGAACGACATTCGTCAATGAGCAAACAGAGCTGTTCATTGACACTTCGCCCTTTTCGACGAGATCATTAATTCATTCTTGTGTCCAATCATGGAAAAGGTTATAAGAAAA